TAGAAAAAGTGATGCTGACGACGACGACGATGATGATCGTAATAATAATGATAAATAATAATAATAATAATAATAATGAATAATAATAATAATAATAATAATGTTGATGATGATGACGTAAAAAAAAGTTATATCACTATATACCTTTATATGCCCTCTTCAACAAACAATGATCCATCTATCATTATTATACCTCTCTCTCTCTCTCTCTCTCTACACACACACACACACACACACACACACACACACACACACACAAACATACACACACATACATACACACATACAAACAAACCTCACATGCAAACAAATATACGCAAGCATTGTCACGTGATTGAAAAGGTCAAACAAAAAGGTCATTTGACTTGTGCTAGGCAGGTGTCAAGTTGTGTTTGTACAAATATCTGTATGTTTGTGTGAGTGTGTATGTATGTATGTATGTTTGTATGTATGTATGCATGTGTGTATGTATGAATTTCTATACAAATTCTATTATGGTCTCCCTGCTTTCTTATTATTTTTGAATATTGAGAAGCAAATAAAATTTCGTTTCATTTCGTTTCGTTTCGTGTCATTTCGTTTCGTTTCGTATGTATGTATGTACCTACAGATCTACAAATCGTTCATGCATATTTATCTTCGTGACTATATGAATGGGCCGTGCTTTTCTAATCTGTCACGGTGTCTATATACAAACAAACATACAAACATCCATACAAACGAACGTACATACAAACATACGTACATACAAACGAACATATATACAAACATACGTACATACAATACAAACAGATATACAAACGTACAATACAAACAGATTATGTAATTGCTGTACTGGTTATCAATATGATAAAAATAACATGATTATGAAATTGCTAATGAATGACTGATTTCATGACAAACTATAAAATTGATAAGAAACGAATGATGGTAATGATAACAATTTATTTGTGTGTGTGTGTTTTTGTGTGTCAATGTGTTTATATGTGTGTGTGTGTGTGTATGTGCGAATGTGTGTGTGAGTATTATGTATACAATAATTTTTCATTCGAATACTATTCATGTCTGTTAGATATCAAACTATGTTGAGATGTAATGACATTTATGCAAATACACACGCACATACACGCACATACACACACAAACACACACACATACATACACTTGTATTTAAAACAAATTGATGAATCGAAAGTCGAGAAAGCTTTGGAAACATTTTCTCAACGCTTTTACTAATGAGGATGGTGATGTTGATCTGTCTGTCTGTATGAATGTATGTATGTATGTATGTGTGTATCTATGTACACACACACACACACACACACACACACACACACACACACACACACACACACACACACATACATACATACAAACACACACACACGCACGCACATACATTACTTGACTGTGGTACGGACGTCTGTTTAATTTAAACTCCCTATGGTTAAACTTGCAATTAAGACCGACTAAGATAAACAAAATATACACACACAAGCAAACATTGACACATACAAACACACACACATACAAACACACACACATACAAACACACATACATGAATACATACTTAGAGGTAAGCATGTGAACGGGAGTCGTTACACACATATACATACTTATTATTTTTTTAATAGTTATTTAAAATTTTAATTGAGCTTTGGTCTTAACTAACTAATTACAAATATTTTATAGGTTTAATAATACTTTCAGGTTTATTGGATTATGTGAAGAATTTGTCTGATTGTTGCTTTTTATTGCAAATAAATGAATATAACACAATTTATTCATTCAATATTTAATATATCTACGTATCTACCCATCCATCCGTTCGTCCATCCATCCATTTATTCATTCATCTATCCAGTTATCTATCCACCCACCCACCCATCCATCCATCTATTTATCCTTTGATACAGATTTTATATCTGGAAAAAGATAACGCTTCTATGAGCAATTAAGTGAGGAAATATATATGCCACAAATGTATGTACGAGTGTATGTTTGTATGTGTGTTTGTTTGTTTGTATGTATGTTTGTTTGTTTGTATGTATGTGTGTGTATGTTTGTTTGTTCGTTTGTATGTGTTGTGTTTTGATAGGTGAGAAAATATTTGTTTGACTAGGCAAAAACGTCATCATATTCATCATCGTCTTCATCATCATCATCACCAACATCATGATCATTACCATGGCCACGATTGTCATGATCATTATCATAATCGCAGTTGTAATGATTTTTTATCGGGTTAGTTGACTGATTGAAAGAAACTTCTTCAAAAGCCCAGACACGCCTCTAACGGATTAATAATTTCATCGTAATTATTTTTCATTCATTCATTCCTTTGTTATTTCCTTCCTTTATTTGTTTTTTTTTGTTTCATTCATTCATTCATTTGTTCGTTCGTTCATTCATTCATCTGGTTGGTTTATTTGTTCGGTCAATCTTTCATCTGTTTGTTCAGCGGTTTAATCAAAGTTTTGTTTGTTTATTTATTCGTTCACTCGATCCTTCATTCATTTATTAGTTTATTTTGCATCCATTCATTCATTCACTCATTCATTCATTCGTTCATTCATTTTTTCATTCATTCACTTTTTCAACGATTCGTTCACAAATCTTTGCAATCAATTCATAAGAACGTCAATTAAAAACCAATCATTATTAAGGCGCGTTAATTAACAATTAATAACAATGCATTATGAATTATAAATAACAACATCAATATTAATAATAATAACAACAATGCATTATGAATTATATACAACAACAGCAATAATAATAATAATAACAACAGCAATCAAAGAACTTCACTTGCCTTCAAATTTTTTTATAAACGCTTCGACGCCAAAAAAAGAAACTCGATCAATTTCTTCTAATAAAATGCGTATAGGTATGTGTGTTTGTATGTATGTATGTTTGTTTGTATGTATGTGTGTATGTATGTATGTGTGTATTTGTGTATGTATGTATATATGTATGTGTGTATGTGTTAATTTAAAGTTACTAACTTTTCAAGTTGAAAACAACAACGGTATTAAAACCTTTCGAAGTCGTAATATACAAGTTCTGTAGCTTCTGTAGCTACCGCTACTACTACTATAACTTACTACTTCTACTACAACTACTGCTGCTGCTAC